TGTGACTCCTACTGAATGCATGAGAATTATGACAGGGCGCTATACGTGTTTTTGGACTAACGTCTGTATTCTCAAACTGGTGTTTCCTGTACATCATGGTTGGGAGTGCATTCGTGAGGGGCTGAGCAACTTCGTGTTTTCGAAGTGTTTGGTGAGAAATGTGACGATTATTTTTTCTTATCACAGGACTAGTAGTGGAAGTCGGAAATGAGTAAGCTCCTACGGTATGTGAATTACGTCTAACTTCAGGAACATGACTAAGTTTAGATGATTGTCCACCAGTAGAATGAGCCAGTGACCCATTCGAAGCTTTCGTAATTATGGGCTTTAGTGTTCTGGGTCTAACGTTCGGATTAGCCTTTTCCGTATTATTCGGCTTGTGTAATTTGGGCTGCTGGTGATCATTAGGATTTCCCAATAAACTGGATTTCTGTTGAATAGTATCAACAGTTCTTTTGGTGTTCCTAACGGAAATAGGACGCTTATCATATCGCCTTGTATTTACGCCTACCTGGGTGGCCACATGTGATTGCTGCTTCACAGTTGCCGTGCTAAGAGGTTGTGCGGTATATGACTTCCCGAGAGATTCAGAGTGTACAACTGAATTCAACTTAGACTTTTTCGAGGGTTTGGCATAAGTGCCAGTGTGCAAGGGTTGCACGTCAATACTGTGATCTGTTAACATTTCTATGTCTGAAATTTCCGTATTTAGAGCTAGGTCTTCAACAGTTGCTTGACTACTCTTAGTTTGTGTATGCGATATTGTCTGGTGCTCTTGGTCATAAGGCAATACAACGAGGGAAGTATTAACTTCGGTTGTCTTATTGGGGTTGTTCTCATTCAATTTACCTGCGCGGCACCGTCTTTGGCAAGAAGTTAAATCAGGTACAATCCTGATTTTGGTGTAGGGTGTTGAGGAGCTAAGAGTTTTGCCAGACTCCAAAAATTTCTTAGCTAGATCAACAGACTTAAATTTGAACAGTACAGGACATGGGTGGTTTGCGGATTTCTTACGAAGACGCAGAACCTGGCAGTCAGATACTGAAATGTTGCATGCCTGTAGACAGATTGCTTTAAGTTTGACAATAGGTACATTGTCAGGTATATTATATCCTAAAACATTGTATGAGGACATGACCCTCTTTACAGCCTCTGCAGTCAAAAAGTCTAGCAGGTGCTCAGATTTGAGGAGTGAATCTAAGGAAATCTCTTGTGATGGATCACAAAGTTGGAGGAAAGGAGTAATACTTTCAAACTTAGCCTGCAGGTCTGTTATGGATTTCTGAAGGATCTTTAGATCAATAGTATTACTCGCTACGTTATCAATTAGTTCTTCCGTTAAGTTTGGTACTAAAACTCTCGGTGTATCGATTGATCTTAGTGCAAATCCATCGTCAGGACTGATGTTTTTAGTGTCCTGCTGACTATTTGATGCTAGTCTCTTAACAGTACTAACTCGTTTAATAACTTTGACCATTATGCAGGTAAAGATTATAAAATTTTCTCAAAAATTGACAAAAGTGTGTGAAATACTGTTATATTATCTAAATAGATAAAAACAACAATAAACAGGTATGAAGTACAAACAAAAATAGACCACTATCGAACGAGTTAACTCTGATAATTATAAACCACAAAACTGAGGACTTCTCTATGGTTCTTTTGTGACAGATTGCTCTTTATTAACACGAATCTCACTGGATCCAAACAGTATTCTGGAGGTGATAAATTTGGATATTTAGCTACCGGAGGGGCAAGCAATATCAGCTATAATTATGTAGTAGTCAAATATAGACCACGATATTCCAGAATGCGAAAAATTATTTCCACGTTATATGGTGAGATTGTAACGTCCTACACGAAGCGCGCGGGATGGATCTGATACCGAGATCTACGACTGAGTTGAGCTTGGCTAGTTTCCGACCATTTATGTCAAGAGTTAGGTCAAGGTTACTGTTGCCGATACAAATCCAGCCGCATTTGTCAATGTTAAACTTTAGACAGGATTCCGCATATCATGTTGCGAGACTACTTAGCTCAAGATGTATTTTATTTACCATATCGCTTAGTTCATGACTGTAGCAGCAGTAAACGGCTTTGAGGTCATCAGCATATAGGAATGGTTTACCTGAGGTGAAGCAGCTGCAAATGCTGTTAATGTATGCTGTAAATAAAAGCGGACATAGGATACTACCTTGCACAACCCCACCTGAGGTCTGCTTAGAATGAGACAATATGGATCCAACTTTGGTTATTTGTACCCTGTTACTTAGAAACGATTTTAACTAGTTCAGCAATGGATTGCGAATTGCACATGAGTACAGCTTCTCAAAGAGAATACTGTGAGATACCATGTCAAATGCCCTAGATATATCGAAGTAGAGAACAACGACTAGCTTGCTTGCTTCGCGGTTACTAGTGATGCAGTTGAAAAAGTCGTAGTGGCAAGTAACGTGTGACCTATTTTTGAGAAATACGTGTTGAGACCTTGTAACAAGATCTTCCTTAAGTAGATAGTCTGACAACAGATCTTTAACAACCTTCACCATGACTCTCCATATAACTGGGGTCACATTTAAAGGTCTGTGATTGCGAACGTTTGCCTTATCACCATATTTGTAGTGCGGAATTATAAAGCTAGTTTTCCACTCATTAAGGTAAGTGCCAGTGTCCACAGATATTGAGAAGAATTTAAGAAGTAATAAGGGAGTGTCCGTTTTTCAAAATCATTGAAGCAAGGGCATCGGTCCCGTGCTAGAAGAAGTTGTAAGGCTTTTGGCTGCTTGTCCCATTAATTGATTGACGAAAACTTTTCTTCACTCTCAAAAACCAGCAGAACAGCCTGTATTTGTTAGTCTAGCAATCAACTAAGCAGACAATGGTACAACATCAGTAAAGCCAAGAGAAGAATTTATACACCAAATCACACAGTCCAGATTACTTTACATCAATCAATGCAATTATATATTTGATTCATCGACAAGTAAACTTTCAACGATAATTTCTGTCCACACCGTGAATCCAGTGAAATAACGCACCTACATCACTACTCCTGTCTTGATGACGGTGATTCTATCAGTATTTGTAGGTGATTTTCACGTTCCGATAGCACCCACTTATTCAATGATGCTATGTTTCACATGAAAATAGGCTGCGTGGATGATATCCTGAGACATGTGCGGAAGTCTTCACAAAATGATTTCATTCTATGCCAAAATCATCAGCTTTCACATCAAGTAGACTATTTGAGTAGAAAATATCATCCTCCGATTATTCCATTCTGCTTATTGTAACAGTATTTCAAGACAGTTCTCCTGAGACAAACGCTTGCCAGCAACATGCTCAGAGTGTATGGTGGTCAGATCATCACATGATGCCTACGCCAATATGGCATCCAAGCAAATCACAGATTTCATCAATCCACACAGCACATGACGCAATTTTAGTGGATATTATTCAAAATAAAACATTTACCAAGCGAAATTTCAACCAGGTGACATGACATGCCGAATAAGTTGAGCCCACGTGATGGATGGAAGATGAGCACCATGATTCTTCAGATATCAGTTACAACGACTAATACTAGTCTCCTTAGTTCAGATATTTTATTGGTTAAGGAACGTGCATTAGTTGGTAGTAATGTGAATAATTTACAGGAAATTACAAACTGACTTGAAATACCACCATTAGGTGATTGTATGTGGGTGCATGTACTGAGAGTCTGTAGATGCAAAGAGGAGGGTCGGGTAGCATTTTTATGCATCTGCTTTGCTGGGTGACGAGTTAGTCTTAGGTGGCATGGGTTGTGCTAGTGATTGAGGACTTCTTAAATATTTTGTGTAGGCTGTGAATGAAAGGGTGATGTAGGTAGGTTGGAATTGGGTAATGTTTATTAGTAACACGTTTGATTAGGTTGAAGGCTCAAAGTCAAGCATAGACGCCATTCGGCACGCTATTGTGTTACTTTCGTTCGTTCGTGCGCGATCCCTAGCTAGTTGAGCGGTCACACTTGCACTACGATTCGGTCCCAAAATATAGTTCGTAATCTGGACTACCATTCCTGGTGTTTCGCTTTGCCTTTGGTCCACGAGGAACGAACACTATGGAAGTTGTGGGTATTTAATCTTTCTTTGGTACACTTCGTACTTTCCGTGAACGTCACCACCGTCACCAACTAAAGTACTCTCTGATGTCATACACATTACATCCACAATCTTGGGATCCATGTTTGTATCTCCTGCCGCAGTATTTGTGCGGACATGCATGTATTTTCTCATATCTGTTCTAAAGCCAACTAGTTTCACAAACAGGCATTCTGACTGACTGTAACGGGTTCTGATCAGCAAAATCGGCTTCATTTTCTGATTAAAAACATATAGTTCTGTAATCACTGTTTCGATAACGATGGGCTTACTAGCTAACCATTAACGCTTTAGTTTCCTTGGGAGTGAATAGTGGAAGGTTAGTATACTAAAAGAGAAACCGATTTTAAAATGGGCTGACACTTACGGAGGAACTTACTATGTGTCTCTTGCATGAGGAAAAGTAATCTCAGGGAATCTCCACAATGCGCATGACAAGCAGACCGAAAGATGTCCTTTATAAGTAGGAAATCGATGAAACACCTTAATATAACAGTCAAACGTCACAATCTGAGTGTCTACAGACGGTTATGGCATCATAATTTATCTGTTCAGGAAATTATCCGACTTGAGGAAACTAATTAATTTTGCGAAGGTTTTTCTTCTACTTCTGATTGTGAATGAGTACTTATCCTCATATTCTTCTGATTCTTTGATCCTTACCTTAATGCCAAGCAGACTAACAGTGAACCGTCCAGAACTAAACAGAGCTGTAGCAAGAAAGTGATTGGATCTGCTCTGTCATAACCGATATGCACTGTTCTATAAATTATATTGGAGAGCCTCGGGTGTCAGTAGTGTAATGTGACAAATCCGTGATCCAGAACGACGGACTGAGACATTGGATATTGAAGGTATCCCGTGCAAACTTTATGGTCGTATGTGCTACCGAGGTTCGTGCTCAGACGATTCACTTATTAGTGTGGCTTCTTATACTTTTATGAACATATTTTATTTTCTGTTGTCAAGAGAAGTTATATTAGTCCTTACTGCATTTTTTTATTTAGAGCTGTGTTATATGCATTTTTCGACTGCATAGCCCCAGTACCACAGGAAAGCGTGCATTGCTCCGTCCCCGATAGACCATAAGCTTTGGCTCTGGGAGACTAACTCCAGTTCACTTGCGTGAAGAAAAAGGCGTAGTAGGGTCACCCCAATACTTGAATGCCTAGCTTCACCCGTAGCGCAAGTGGATAGTCAGACGGCGAAGAAGGCCCCTGTGAATACCGTAATTTAGTCTAGCAAAGCGATACATAGGTCCTATGTAAGCCGTACTGTCCGTGAAGGATGGGAAGACGCTATCACCCGGAGCAAGAGATCCATTCCAAGTAAACCTGATCTGGAGTGGCCGCTCATCCTTCACAAAGTTAAGGGATTTTTGGCTTCAGACCGCAATGCCAGGTTTGAACACAACATCGATCTAGCTAAATCAACCTTGGACAAGCTGTTGCTAACAACAGTAACTGATGTAACTATTCATAGCATATAGAGAACTGGTTAAAACGTTGACTACAGTATATAAGTCGATACGCCTCAGTCGTATTGAATTCAAAAACTGAGAAGGATGCTAGACTAAGCAACATGGAGACTTAAAGGACTAGGTATGTACGTATGTGCTTACTTATGCCTAGCAGACCGCATCAAAAGAGTGTGAAGCTCAAGCGTTAAGCCAAGAGTGAGAATAAACTCACCATTAGAGGTTTTCAACTTGTAAAAGTTTTAAGTTAGGTGATTCCGAAACCTCTGTGGGTGGAACGCGGGAGCACCAAACTGAGTTAAAAGTTCGCTAAACTGATACTGATAGCCTGTTAAATAAGTTCACTAAGCTGCGTAGTACGGTAGACACCAAAAACCAGGATATCATTGTGGCTACGGAAACATGGCAGACATCAGATGTCACCGACAACGAATTTAAGTTCGCAAACTTCATAGTCCATAGGGCAGATCGACTAAGCAGCAAAGGTAGTGATGTCACCTATCGCAAAAGGTGCTTAACGGTGGGCTGCATTGAAGCCCTCACACACGAAAGTGGAACTTGCGAACTTCTGCTCTGCCTAGGCCAAGATATTGGCCTCATTAATATGTACCACAGTCCCGACTGGAGTGCAGACAACTTCCTAATAGAGAAGCTGCGGGTATGGCCATCTGAATGTCAGTCTCGTAGTCAGTAACTTCAACACCCTAACAGTTGACTGGACGAGTCTTGCGACTACATCTTCAGACAAATCCTTTGACTATAAACTATTGGAATCTAGTGTTTCGCTAGCCCTAGTTCAGCATGTCACAAAGCCCACACGTTATGACTCACAGTACTCCTCAACCTTGGACCTGGTTTTCTCCCACGGTGAGTATGTAAACCTCTTACATCTTCCTCCCTTAGGAAGAAGTGATCACACAGTATTCACCTTCATGGGCCAAAACTCCAGCTCGACCAATGCCATAAATGATATGAGTGCCATCGTATCAGCAGCCAAACCGCTGGACTGGCACATGAATCCAGAGTCTCACTTAGGAGCTGCATGGGAACACTTTAAGCAACTTTACGCTCAGATAACCGAATCTTTCATTCGTTGGTCCCAAAGAGTAGAAAATATTGTCCCCCATGAATAAACCAAGACAGTCGCAGTTTACTCAGGCGAAAACACAAGTGCTAGAACCTGTTTATCACACTTGAGACTTCTGAAACAAGAAAGTTATGCATCGTGGCAAGAAACAAAGCTATTGCCGGAAATCCGCCAATCAGAGATGTAGTTCGGAATGAAACACCACAACCTAAAAAAATTCTTACACATGAATTTCAGGATTGAAGCATCCAACGGGGTCCCAAACTTGACTGTTGACAAAGATACAATCAAAGAGGACCAGAAAAATTAGAAGTAATGACAGACTACTTCTCCAAAGTGTTTACATAGTAGTCATCACTCATAGCATCAGCTCTGGAAGCGTCAGAAGAATACAGGATAGACTAAGTCAGTGTTAACCAAGACATCGTATACAATGCTCTAAAAAAATTAGATACAGGGAAGTCAGTGGGGCGTGATAACCTTCATTCAAGGCTTCTTTAGGAGCTATCAGCTCATATAGCCGGTCCACTGACTACTACCTTCAAGCTATCTCCTGAATGGAGTACTACCACTTGACCGGGAAGTTTCCACAGTAACCCTCACCTACAAAACGGATCCAGGCACTGTCCTTCAAATTACAGGCCTTTTAGTATTACCAGCACCTTAGTCAAGATACTGGAAAGAGTCATCAAGGAAGGTATCATGGCATATCTGGGAAACAGCAGCTTGTCGTCCAGAACACAGCGTGTCTTTCGGGGAAACCTTACAGCAGGAAAAAGCTAGGTCAAGTCAAGGAACAATAGGACCCATCGACTTCTTTTTCATAGACTTCAGCAAGGCTTTCGACAAAGTACCTCGCATAATGCTGCCCATGAAATCGGAGTCTTGAAATCAAGGGCAACTGGATTAGGCAATCCCCCATAGGTGAATATAATCAGGATCAACTCCGAACCCTCCTTGCTGGACAGTGCCATAATGCACTGTAATTAAGTTCTTATTTGTTTGTGTATGTTTGTGTGTGTTTGTGCGTCGGTGGCATAGTGGTTAGGACGCTCTCCGACCATGCATACGGCCCGGGGTTCGATCCCCGGCCGACGCACCCCTTTACCTCGCTAAGCCAGAAATAATGCTGGTGAAGAGGAAAGGTTGGGCATGAGGCTAGCAACCCCATCCTGTAAAATAAGCACTGCTACAGAAACTTCAAGCCACTAGCTTGAAGCCCTATGTTCCACTGGGGAACGTGAAGGAAATAAAGAAAAAGAAGAAGAATCAATGAGTTACCTTTGCTCAGCGAATCCCTTGTGATACTTTATGCATATGACTTAACAATTTGGAGTGAACTGAAGGGTGATAATGATACGTTGCAATATCTCAGGAAATTGTTAGATTGGTTCAAATTGGATGCGCTATAGTCACCTCATACGAACTAGAGGGAATGATACTCCAATCAGTTCAAACTTACGTGGATCTGGGTGTCGTAATGTCACGAATTGAAAACTGCAGCATATGGTGGAGTGGTGGCAGATCGAAGTTTCAGATCTTTATGGACAACATACAGGGTTTACTAAAATCGCCAGAGATATGTCCACTTCTTTGTATATATCTCTGATGAGGTCAAGACTGGAAAACTGTAATCAGGTGTCCAGTCTTTGTTTTAAGGGGAACTCATTCTAGAAACGATCCAAAAGAAGGCAACATGATTCTCAGTATGACCAATTCATTATAGGTTGAAAGACTAGACAGTTTGAATCGCTTCTCCTTGTCCTACCGTAGACATCGAGATCTCATTACAATGTTTAAAATTTTTAAGTAATGACAACGGGCCTGATGTGTTTTCTCTTTTACTCCCTATCAGGTCGGAACACCTCAGAGGACATAGCAGGAAAGTTCAAAAATCAAGGAGGAACTATATCTCTGTGGGATATCAGTTCTAACTCCGAGTCATTAGACTTCTGGAACTATTGACTCGCAGAAGAAGTTTCAGTGCCCTCAATCGACTCATTCAAGAAGGGCCTAGACAAACACAGGAAGTTATTAGAAAAGGATTAACACAGATTTCAAGCCTTCTACCCTCAATTATTAGATCTGCGAATTTAATCGGTCTTTGCTCACTTTTAAGTATAGCGATGTTTCGTAATCAAAAATAAGAAGCCAGAAACTACCAAGATATAATATCTAAACTCACTTTTCCTTTTAACTACCGTTCGGTTTGGCACCGATACAGCTGAAATAAACATACTGGTTTTAGCCATTTAGGAAGGTATGTATACAATTTCTAGTTTGTAGAACCACTGGGAAAATAAGAGTAACTAACTCAATGGTAAAGCTCGAGAAAGAAGGCCGGATAATCAGGTTCGAAACTATTCGCCACTATAGTTGTGAAGGTGACTAATGTTAATAGTGAACAGTTGTACGGTAGATCATTTGTGCAATCAAAATTAGTCTTCCAACTGTGGAAGCTATTTCTTAAAGCCTAATGGATATCCTGTTTAATTTCTGCTTGAAATGTTCAGTACACAGATTCATCTTTCCTGTCTCTCGGAGAATTTGTCAACAGTAGTTTTCTTGATCATTACAAACTATTTTACACTACAGTCAGTGAGTGTATTGTGTCTTGGGTATTTATTTGAAATCTTCCCTCCTAGTAGTAAGAGGTTTTGGTAGAATAGAGTTTGCTACTAAGCTTTGAATTGCTGATAGTAGGACGCTAAGTCTGGTGGCGAAGTCGTATTATTGTTAAACAGAACTGTATAGGTTTAACATAGAATGATCAGCAGCCCCACTGTTCCACAACAGTTAATCTAAGCCACGTAGGAAGATGTAGACTTCCTGGTTGGGGCCCTCGGGATGGTAAAAACCAATGGTTGGAAACAATTGGTGACATGGCTCAAAATCGTTCTCAGTGGCGCAGATGCATCCACTCCTTGTGACTTATGATTTCCAATTAAACTTTTGTTCTCCGTTATTACTATTCCTTTGTCTCACACCTCTGTTTACTGTCTATATTATGCATTTCTTCTACTTTCTTCTCTTGCTTTGCGTGCTACATAGATTGTGGCGACTTGAACTGCCGCACATATGTGCAAAGTTCTATGTCGAAAACCGACCGACCGACCGAGCCCCACTGTTCTGGTTTCATATTGTGTATAGAAAACAATCCAAAATGTCAGCTTCGTAAGCATATTATTTTCGAAGATTGTTTTCCGAACTATATTTTTGGTGAAACTTGCCTTCTTTCAACTGATATGGACTATCACAGTTTCAGCATAGAATTTTGCAGAGAAGTCAAGCACTTCAATTTACCACACCGCTCACATATGACACAAAGGTAGAGGAAAGAGATTCAAAAGAATTATAATGAGCAGGAGTATAGGGGATAAAGAATGGTGGCGAAATGAATGTTTAGTGGATACAAGAAATCAAAAGGAGTGAGTTCATCTGCACCATCAAAAAACCCGTTTTGAATCATATCACTGATGGTCTCTAGCCATTGGTTCTTAACATTCTGGGGACTACAACCAGTAAGTTTACACCTCCTTACGTGCCTGGCCTAAACGGACAGTCGAATTCTCCATGGAATAATGCCAGGTTTTAGTTTGACCATTCCTAACTCTTTTCTAACTCAATCCTATTTGTATTTCGCTTTATCTTTATTTTTCACCACAGAATTCTTTTGTGCAGAATCAAATGTCGACTACAAATCAGCTAAGCAACCCAGTAAAACGTGGCTCATATTCAGCTTATAGTAAAGGTCAAACACAATCACCTGGTCAATCACAGCAGCAACACCACCAATCTCAACAGCAGCAGCAACAACAACAAGTATGGCCGTCATCATTACCACCGGGTTGGAAGCGTGAAGAGTGTATGCGACCAAATGGTTTATGCACTGGGAAATCATATGTTTACTACATTAGGTAATGTTTGTTTTTATTTCCTTATCCCCCCTTTTTTTCATAGTCCTCAAAATCAAATTGTTCGTAACAAACAAGAAATGCAAACTATCTTAGGTGACAGTTATGATATTGGTTTGTTCGATTGGAGATTAGGAAAATTCACACTGAATCGTCGAACTAAGCAATCTGAAGAACAGGCAACAGACGCTTCCTCAGCTAAAGGTACAACGATTTTCTAATGGTGTTCACATGTTCCATTTCCCCCTCTTTCTACAAGCCCCACGTGTAGATAATCAGCCTCTGCTTTCAAAGAGACGATGTCCATATCCAATACATGAAATCCAACCTGTTATGGTCCGATCTTATCCGGAATGTAAACGAATAGATGGGGAAAATGAGAATCTAGAATCACCTCGTCAAGTGCGTACATTATTCCTTCAACCTTGGAATTACCATTACATTTATTTTAGTTATTTTGGGAGAGACGGTTGGCTGGTATTGCGGCCGTTGATTCTGAAACCGGTGAACCGTTTAAACCAATCTCTTTGCCTAGAGGAATTCAGAGTAAGTTTTATGGATTAATTCGTATTATTATTATTATTGATATTATTTTTTATATTGTTTTATTCCTCTGCATCCCGATTGGAATATATGGCTTCAAGTGGTGGTTTTATTTTTTAATGCTTGGGATTGCTAGCTTCACGCTCAGCCTACCTTCTTTATCGGGCTTGGGGTTGTTTACGAGTGTGTCGACAGCGAATAGAACCCCAGACCATCTGTTCACTTGGTGATGCATACAATAATTTGTAATAATCTTTGAATTTTCGCTTTTTTGTTCTTTTCCCATTTCTAGGTGCTGGAGCACCTGGTTATCAATCTACTCAATTGCTTCAAAGTTTAGTTCATGCCTTGTCAAATCAAAATAATCCAGTCATTGGTCAGGAACAAGATCCTTCAGATATTGAGAATGATCCATGTGCCACGCTAAATCACTCGCAACCAATGATTAAAGTAAGTAAATAGTCAAGTATAAAGAAACGATCCTGTTATTACAATTATTATAAGTTCATGTGGTTGTGAATCATTCTTGACTATCGGTTAGTGGGTGTTGCGTTGCACATGATTAGTTACCAGCTTTTTACAAATAGGAATAGATTGGGAAGAGCTTAGGGATAGTCAAATCAAGACACAACATTAATTACGTGTTGATTTAAGCTCTATGTGAGAATGCAGGTGACTTGTTTTAAAGTTGCCGAAATATTGAATTACTTCATGACTTTTCAAAGTAGAACTTTCCAAAGAATTGCACCAGCTCAAGTTTTCCTACTCCATATAAGTAAAGAAAAAGGAAAACAATTCAAAATAACCCTGACGAATAGAATTACACGTAAGAAAGAATAACTAAGCGGAGAACAAAGAGGACTCGGAGATTACAAAAAGTGAATGTGTGTGAGCCATTAAGAAAGAATTTGAACCGTATCATCAAAAGTCTCTAGCCATTGGTTCTTAGCGTCTTCAGGATCGCCCAGCCAGGCTGTCTACACCTCGCTACATGGTTCAAATGAACAGTCAAAGATTCCATACATTGACACCAAGTTTTTATTTGACCAGCCATAACTTCTTTCCAACTCAATCCTGTGTCAGCTAACATTGCTATTCGAGGAAGGCAGTAATCTGGTATGTGTGACACGTGCCCTAGCAATTTTAATCGATATAGCTTCTCAACGTTGTCGATTGACTCTCCCTTCTTGCTTAAGAATCTATGCCTAACCTCAGTAGTACTGACTATTTTATACCACTTAACATGGGAGACAGAGAAAATAGAGATGCCTTTGGTCAAAGACAGCTAGCCGCTTCATATCTTTATCTTTTGATGACCACATCCCATAGGTTTAAAGAAGCACTAAGGGAACTGTTGTTCAGTAACACACTTCCTTTGATGGATAACCGGATATTATGCCCATGCCGGAGATGATGTAGGCTGTCAAATGCTGTATAAGCTTTGTATCCGTGCTGAAATTTCGTCTGACTGACTGACCGGTTTCAACGTAGAACTTTGCACCAACGTGCAGTAGTTCGAGTCGCCACACTTCACTTAGCACACAAAGCAAGAGAAGGAGGTAAAAAGAAATGCAAAACAGAGATATGAGTCAAATAACAGTAATTTCGAAGAACAATGGAGTTTTATTGTTTCAGGTACCCGAAGAATCAATCAATGAAGTTTTGTCAGCTATCGGTCCATTAGGGTTGATGTAACTTCCTTAATAAGTGAAACGGTCAATACGCTGAACGACTTCATTCTCTGTCCTTAAACTAAGAGCTTATGCAGAAAAGTCTTGCAACCTCATTTACACATTTGATATAGGTAAATTGCACGCCAAACATGCCAGCATTTCCGCTCAAGACGTTCAGAATAGTTTGCGTTTTGGTTACAGGATTTCATCATGAGCTGACGTCAGTTAGAGAACCATTGGAAAACCTGCAGGGAGTACTGGACAGCTGTTGCCGTTGTCCTAGTTCGGGACTTTTCGGCCGTACTCACCCACTGGGGTTCTAACCCAGGACCCTCTGGTTACAAGGCGGGGTAGCTCGTAGACCATTTTGCTTTTTGTCGACGTTTTCACTTAAAGAGTTTAAGTATATTATCTACATGCTCCCAATCGACGAGATTGTTTGTTGGTTACCGGAACAATTGAATAATAAGATTATTATTATTATTACTAGCGTTCCTGACAAATTCTGTATAACTATTATTTCAACCCTATAAATTTATAGTAGGTTAGTCAGTTATATTTGAATATAACATAAAGTATCTGTATATGCATCTATGTCTATGATATCAGCTCATATCTTACAAGGCGTAAAGTGTTAATATCACTCTTCTTCATTCGTTTACTTCCCAAGTGGAACGTAGGACTACAAATTTGATCTAGTGTTACAGGATTTTCATCATGAGCTGACATTAGTTAGAGAACCATTGAAAATCCTGTAACCAATCAAATCCCTACAAACCAACACTTGATCTAGTGTTGTTTCTATGAGGGTGGAGTTGCTAGTTTCATACCCAGGTTTTTCTCTTTAACGAGCTTACTACTACCGACTAAGCAACGTTAAAGGGAGCGCGTCAGCAAGGAGTGGAACTCGAACCAATTGCGTGATTGACGAGGATTCTACCACTGAACAATCACCATCATTATAATTATAATAACAACATTCAATAATTCTTTTTTTTGTGTTTTCGTTATTGTTACTTTTCTCTTCCATTTAGACATTCATTGTAACTGATGATGATATACGCCGACAAGAAGCACGTGTAAAGGAGTTACGAAGAAGACTGGCGATGGTCAGGCGTAAATTTGATCCAGTAAGTTGTAAGTAAAAATGCATACAGCATCAAATATACATTCAATAGAGGATGAGAGAAGTGATAAGAAAAAAAAGAATATCTACTTAATATTCTGAGTTTATTTTAAATAATAATCATTTTTTTTATTTTCGAAAGTTGGTTTATAGGGATTTGACTTGGTTTCAAGTTTGACAACGGATTGACATCAGCTAGAGGAGCATTCAAAACCAGGCAGTTACTGGAAAGTTATTTCGTCCTGATCCGAGACTCATCGGCAGTCCGAAGCCACCGGATTTCGAACTCAGGAGCTTCCAGTTACAAGGGAAGCTCGTAGACCATACAACTGCTGGGGTCTAACTTAATTGCCCATGAATTCTAACTTCTACCAATTCGTGATTTTAGCCTGACTATCAACCAGTGTCATCGCTGGCAAATACTTGTCCTCACGCCCGAAAGGATGATTCCCACTGGTCATGACTTCTCACTAGAACTCCAAGAAACTCAGTATTGTAAGCAGTTACTAGCGAGCATCGGATTAATAACAAGAAAGTGGGTGGGTGGATACTGCCGGTGAGTCGCAAACTAGTGCGAAATAGCTGTCCAGTATTCCCTGGGTCGTTTTATTGTAACCCACTACTGTTATTCCTGAAATACTATTGAACTGTTTTCACATTGACGTAGCTGACTGACTGAGTCTTAGCAAAGAACTCTGAGGAGAGATGGAGCACTTCAAATTGTTACATTCCATATAGTACACAAAGGTAGAGGGAAGGATTTTAAAAGATTCATAATCAGCAGAAGGAGGAATAATAGCGACATGAGAAACACGAGGACTTAATGGATCTGAGAAATCACAGAGGGTAAATGAGTTGGCACCACTGAGAACGATTTGAGGCCAGCCATTGGTTCTTAGAATTCCGAGAACCACTACCGGGCAGTCTACGCCTTTCTACGTGGCTCACTGATATGACATGCAGAACATTAGATCTAAAAAAAGTTTATTATTAGTTCTCTTTAATTTGGGATAAGGTGAGTTCTTTTCTACTCTAGAAAACCATTGGAAAAGTTTCTGTCCACTGATGGTTGTGGTGGTAATATTTCCATATCTACCCTACTCCTAACCAATATTCTATTGCAGATCAAGTGCAATTTTATAAGATCATTTCGTATACACCCTTATAACCGTCTGAAGGTGGGTAGACTTCGGTTTTCTTATCGACATGCCCTCATGTGCCACTCGTTCATAGTTTTTACCAGATAAGTCCTGTACACTACCTTCACGCGGTGGAGGTGTTCGTCACAAAAGTGAACGTCTGTCTGCCTGCCTTTGACAGAATCGCTCGGCCTTTTGTTTGAGAGTGCAGCTCTAGCCTTCACACAACCAAGTGTGACCTACAAGGCAGTAGGAGTGGAGTAGGGAGTCCACTATCCATTGGCAGCCGGTGACCGGAGTTCGGTTCATACGCCTTTTTGAATGGGGCCAGACATCCAGGACATCCAACAAGCCCTTTGTCCATACGTCTGCCGGTGAGCTCCAGTGAGCTTCATACGCCAATCGTTGGAGGTTTGGAACCAGGGTTTAGCCATCTCCGCTAGACTGTCATCCAATGGACAGTCAACCCGGTGAAGAGCGCCGGGCATCCGCACCTACTGGTTGAAAGTCACTCCTCCCAAAATAATGAGCTACATTTCCTTTTTAATACCATGTATGTATGTATATATGTATGTATGTATGTATGTATGTATGTCCATCTGTTACTTTGTATTTCTTCTTGTTTTCTGTTATTTCAGAGATATGAAGCCGAACGACAAGGTTGATATAAACAAAAGCGCTGCATAAAATGACAATTTTATTGTCTTTATGTGTTCTGTTCTCTGTTAATGCGCTTGTTGTATTATATATTGTCATTGTTGTTGTTGTTATATAATCCTGTTCTTATGCCCAGTATTGTTCCACAGTACTTTTACTGCATTTCTGTGTAATGTCACTGAATGGGAGTAGGAATGCTGATTGGCGATATGTGAACCATTGATAAATTAATTAGCTGGTTGATTATTCCCTAGTGAAATCCAGAGGACTCACATAGTAGGGTTGTCAAGGTGTATTTCCAATAAGAGTGTGCGTATGAGAGAGAGAGAGAGAGAGAAAGTGACCAAGAGTACAAAACTGTCAGGCATATATTAGTGCAGTGACGGACGAGGCTCGAATGTTTATTCGTCGACTGCATGCTGGACTGTGTGTCAGAGGCATGTGATATGTTTTTCTCTGAATCAAAAGACTGATAAGATAGAATTGTGGACACATATCAAATTGGCAGACTAATGAGTTGTTCCACAAGCATATATGATACTGTTTAGATATTGTTATTGTTGTCACTGTTATCTAGTTGTCTGGCTGTCTGTCGATGATTATGTTATAAGTTTCTATAATATCCGTGGAATTTATGAATAGCAGTGGTACTCTTCATTAATCATGCGTCTGTGTACAAACATGATGGTTAGTGATATATGATCTGCGTGTTGGAGGTTCAGGTGTAGAATACCTGTTATCCACAGACATAGTCCGAGTTCTGTGCCCGACTGACACACTGCGAAACCTTACCTAACCTGTAGTAGGCTGATAGAAGTGGGAAGATTGGAAGTGAGCCTGGAAACTCCAGCCTACAACTGGAACTTCATTGTTGGAAGTCCTATGTGGCACTCAGAATGAAAGAAAAGATGCTATCTGACTGCAGAAACGTGTGGTTAGCCTCATCGCGGAAAAACAGATAAGATAGACTAACTAATAATAAAAATAATAGTAATCTACTTTATTCCAAAAACAGTACTTATTATACAGAATGGGATTCTCAGCATTTGTCACAATATTGCATCTGATTTATTCAACATATAAGTAAAATTAGCTGTCCACATTTACGGTATGAAGTCAAAAATATTCGAAGTAAGTATAATAATAATGATAATAACAGTGGGTTTGTTTCAAACAGCACTGTCGATTCAAGTTGGAAATTTCAGCATGTAGATTATTGAGTCTAATGTTCTGTTGATATCGCATGGTGAAGGGAAAGACAAAAAATAGCAGTTATTACACAGCTTAAATGATGTTTACACTTATGGGAAAATTAAAGTTACCTTGAGAGGATTATAAATAAAGGAAGAACAATAACAATAAAGCTTGGTGGAATGAGGATGGAGAAAATGGAATATTTATACTTAGACGTACGTGTATAAAGTCTTTTGAAATGACTTCTTGTTTTACCTGAGGAGATGCAAGGTTAGAGCTGCGGGTAAAGTGGATGCTCACAGTCTGACAAGATTCCGTTAGCAAATTTGTTGTATGAAATCAAGTGCCTATCGATAACGATGTCAACGATATGACCCAATGGGATACCACTCGCCCTACTGACAGTCACTATTCAGAGTTCAACAAAGTATGACATAGTCTCTTTTAATCAATTCGGGAATGAATAAGGGTGACCAGTGAGGAAGAATGGGTAAGATGCACGAGTTGAAGAACTGTAAGAGGAGGATGAGGAGGAGTTGAGTTATGCCTGAGTGCCTTAACTTCTTAATGTAAAAGGTCAGAGGAAATATTCTTTTAGAAATCGCTAAGACATGGGAATAGCAGGATAGGTCAGAAGAAAGAATTAATCCAAGATACTCAACTTCAGACTTGATTTCTGCATCACCGTCATCAATTTTGCTACGGTCGTAGGAACCAACAGCTTCATTCAACCTTCTTTTACATAGGAAACTGAAGTTAACAGTCTGACACTTCGAAGGATTCAGTTTAGAACCATTTGTTGACTCCTGATAGAGAGAGGGAGAGCTGTTCATCTTAGTACAGTCTAGCTGGTAGTTAACAGACATTGAAATAGTCAGATCATCCACATACTGAACAAAGTTGATTTCATCATCAGAGTGAGGCAGGTCATAGAAGAAGAAGAAGGAAAAGAGAAAAGTAAAAAGAACAGCACCTTGAGTGAATTCTTAGAGCTTGGATGATTTTACAGTTGAGTGTTGAATTCTGAGGCGGTATTGTTCTGTGATTTTTATCACATCCTTTTCTTTTGACTTCTGAATAGTTTGTTTATGACGTAGCTGATATATCCTGCAGTTTTGTAGGGCAGGCTAAGATAGATTTTGTTTGTTCGTGTAGAGCTAGTTAGTAGATCGAAACGATATCCTGGATATTATTTCTTTCTTTCGACAATGCAGTTTAAGTCAGTAATCATTTCAACATTGGGGCTTCTGATTAAATGGAGTTGCTCAGCTCTGCTTGAATCTTCTTTTAAACTTATCTATGAAGTGATCGAGATTTGACCGAATAGTTCCCAAATAATTGGGCGCTGATTGAGAAGTAGACAAAAGTAAAAATTGAATTTGTAAAATCTCAGAGAAATTGAAATGAGTAGTTCCAAGGTTTCCTTGTTCGGGAAAGTGCGTCGGTGGCATGGCGGTAGAGTGCTCGCCGACCAAACGCAGGTGGTACGAGGTTCGATCCTCGGCCGACGCACTCCTTTACCTTACCAAACCGGTAGTAATACTGATAAAGAGAGAAGGTTGGGCATGAGGCTAGCAACCGCATCCTGTAAAACTATAGTCACCACTGCTACAGAAACTCCAAGGCCTTATGTTCCATTGGGAACGTAAAGCAATAAAAACATCTTTTTATTTATTAATCAGGACTCGCCATGTATCAGCTAACATCACACCTTCACGTCTGTTCAATCTGTTGGGATTCACCCATATATGTAGGGTATCTGCAGTCAGTCTTTCTCTATACGAACCAAAACCTTGGTGCTGTCAACGTCTATTTTGTGTCGCGTTTCTGTCGAGTGCAGTGCAATCGGTGATCTATTCTCTAGCTTCTTTAAGTCTGCAGAGATCTTTGGATCTACCTATGAACTTACATGGTAGTATGCTAAGGGAGTCTCTATCTTTTACTCGAATGAAACTTTGGCAAGCCAATAACTGATGGTGTAGCTCTCTTTACTTTTTTTACCCTGATTTTATTCCTACTTTAGTAAGTTATTCCTCATTATTTAAATATTCCTTTGTGGGGATTCGGTTGTTTGTTTACAGGATTTCATCATATACCATAGGAAAAGCTGGCTTCTATCGATTCTTTTTTTGCCGATTACCTAATCACAGTATGATAGTTTGATTGGCGTGAGATCGTTGTTCTTGTACAGACTAGTGAAGTTGCTAGTAACCTTGAAACAAATGTAGAGATGTAGAGTGTAATGATGAGGTTTCCTGAGTTATTGAAGGACTGTAGACCAGGATTGTTACCTAAAGAGCCTGAGTTTCTGTTTTACACATGGTAGTGAAAAAAAGAGGCGGCGTACACCGTTGATGAGTTCTTCTGCAAGTGAGCGAGACAACCGCCTTGTGTTTGGATCATGTCGATCTCGTTATCCAGCACTGTTGCTTGATTTCTTGATTGTTATTTATGGCGTCAAGCAAATAACATCTTGTGATATGAATAATTTCGGTTTCCAGAGAAAATTCTGATGAGATTTCATCTGGAGCTGTGGAGATTACGAATTCGATCCAAGCGTGATTGTCTTTAGTTGTTATTAGTACTGATTGTCTCTGTTTTACACAAGAGAAAATCATCTCTGATATACTTTGATGTAAGAATAGAACTTGGACGATTATGAAGAAGCAATTTATTTTGATAAGGTCTCAGTGTTATACAGTAATATTCACTGATGACCTTTCGAGCACAATTGATTACCACTCATAATTGCATCAAGAAAATCTCGAATTATCGAGGAGTTAGTTTTACTAACACATATGACGCATGATTACAACTACGGCATGATAATCCCGAGGAAACCAGACCTAACAGCTGATGAACAAGTGCATCCCCTGAAGTATTTAAATCGATGTGGTTGACAGTTAAATTCAAAGTATGCATTCAACTCTCTTCCAAAGTGGAATGATTGCTTAAATAAGGCATTTAGAAGACAAATATCGTGAGATAATATCATTTAGTAGTTTACTTTTACGATCGATTTTCAACTAGCATGGTTCACAATACTACAATAAAATGCATAAACAGTTATATTTAAATAAAAGTACATAATGATAACCATTCATATTTTAGTAGGCTCAGTTGTCCATGGTAGGCAGACGCTGAAGTTTGTTGTTTCCTGTACACATAGTTTGCGATGCATATGATTAATCCAAAGTGCTTCCATCACCTTGAATAACCTTGAATTAGAGTTATGTGAAATAACTGGAAACGCATCATTAATTTTGCGACTGTGACCAGACATTAATAAATGCCCTGCAATGGACGATGTTCGATTTCTGTTCAGATTAAGTACATCTGGGTTTTCTATGTGACTTAATAGCTATTCAGGAATGTGTTCCTTCAGACGATAATAGAACATTCTTTTGCTTCTACCTATATACGTGTTACCTCAACTGTTGTTGAACTTGTAGATACAGTGTGAAAAGGAGTGTGCAGAATTTCATCTCTTAACCGTATGTAAAGAAACTGAAAATGTTCGGGATTTGAAGAAAAGGAATGTGGCGTAGAATGTGCACTTGACAGCTGATCGAAGTCTATGGGCTGACGGCTGCGTGATTTTATCACTCTTGAATCGTAGTCGAATAAAGATGGCCTTCTTTGATTCGGCAGCTATCTTTTCAAGGTCCAGCCTCTCTTTACTATGAGAAGCAATGAAGTTTTCCAGCTATCTATTGGCCAATAAAACTGAATGTAGCTCGCTCATTTATTATGTCGCTCGCGCAAATTTTACATGCCCTTGGAATCAGGTATTTCACTAGAAAACCTTTATACTAGATTTGAACAAAGCTGCTGAAATGAAGACATTATCCACTCCAATTCGCGAAATATGGTTCGCTCAATTGTTTCGTCGTCCCGCATAGTCACTAAAACATCCAGGAGACCCAGTATGTTATTCAATT